AAAAAGAAGCTACAAATAGATGGAGTAGGAGTAAGGAAAAAGTACTGACACTTTGAATATTTCAGAGGTAACATGAAGCCAAGTTATTTAGGAATTTTTTGATAGTATAGAAAGCAAAAGAATGTTAAACGACACAGATGATTGCCAGCATGAAATACAGGGTAGAAATCAACTCTGGAGGAAGTTTCAAAATTTTTCTCAACTCTATTAAATTTTTGTTCCTCGACACTGTTGCCAGCTGAATAAAAGTAAAATCTAAAGGGTTGATGATCTTACAAACATAGGCAATGGAAGTAGAAAGTAAACTATATGCAAAGAAACTAACGCGATATTTTTCACTGGTAAAATTGCCAACGATTTAAGAACATAACTCCCCTGTTGCTGAGCTCTTTCTGCAAAATGATGTAAAAGTGTATGTTAGATACTTGAGGTCACTGTTTCCTCTAAAGAATGTAGCAGAGTCATGTACAAAATATGTATCATGGCATAGTCAAATTAGAGACCAGTGAGAAACTTCTGAATTGCTCCAGTGCTTATTGCATTAATGTACATTATTGTGTGTTCATAAGGTGGGATATGATGCCATTATTAAAAATCCTTCAAAATATTTTTAGAAATATGCTTAATGAGTTGGAATATAGTCAGAAAAGGGAATAAACAAGGTTTAAAATTATATGTTAAGAGTTCTGTTTGGTAAAAGTGAATAAATCCTAGAAGGAATAATATCAAATATCAAATGTTTCCATATGTATGGTGGAATTACCAGGTATAAGGTGTATGTTTTTTTAAATTTAAAATATATATATATTTATTTATGCATACAGAATTGGAGTACAGGCCAGAGGTGCAGAGGCAATAAGAGGATTCACCAGAGACAGAGTGGGGAGCAGAACAGACAGACTGATGAAGTACACTGCTGAGGGGAGCAGCAGGCGAAACAGGAGAGGTCTGCCACCCCACATGAGTCCCACCCTGGCCGGGGACTAAACTCATGTTGAAGCAGTTGTAGTCAACTTCACAGTGCCAAGCTTTAACCTGTTGCACCATCAGAAGAGGGCCTGATGTCTGCATGTTTTAAATTACCTTCAATAATCACATGTTACTTTTGAGTAAAATGTAATCATCACTTGGTTTCACTCACAGCAGGAGCATAAAGGACTAGGGGTAGGGGAAATTATAGTGAACAACTATATACCAGAGGCATTTTACGGGGGTGGAATAGGGATGGGATCAAAAATGGGGGAAGGGGGCGTGAGAAGTGCACTGGACTATGGTGATGGCACACCGGTGATTTGGTGATGGGAAGCCCATGGGGATTACAACTGAGATGGAAAAAGGCACAAAAAGATGCAAAAAAAACCTAATATATTATTTTAAAAATGTAATCATCACTTCTCCATCTAAATCTGCATCTTCTATTTCTCAGATTTGCTAGGAATTGACATTTCAGCACCTTTGAGACCCAAATTCTCACAGAGTAGCAGCTTCAGTGAGAAGCTTCCCCCACAAACTGGTCCGCAAGAATGGCCGCCAGTAATCCTGCTGCAGAGTCCAAGGTGAGCACCGAGAAGAGCACCCAGGTGCACAGGTCAGGGCTCAGCACCTGTAGAGGCTCGCACCCCTCAACAGCTCCAGCAACTCCTCTTTCAGTTTCTGCCCAGTGGGTTCACAGAGCAGAAGTCCTTCCCTGCCATCTTTCCTGTGATTCTTAGGTGAACTTTGAAGCTATAAATTAGTTTGAAATTTTGTTCCTATTACAAAAACATGAAAAGGATGGTAAAGATCATCTTATTTAACTTTGATGTACTCTGAGAAGCTCTGGAAAAGTGACCCTTCAGACTGTGCTATAGCAGAAAATACATTTACTTGAATGCCTTGAATGTGGATGGAATTGCATTTCCCAGAATGTACCTGGGAGTACCTTCACCCTGGAGTGACTGTATGTGGAGAGAGGGTTTTCAAGTAAGAGGTGATGAGGTTAAATGAGGTACCTAATCTGACAGGACTGGAGTCCTCACAAGAAGGTGGGACCTCAGGGCGGGGGCACAGGGGACACAGACCACGCGAGGACAGAGTGAGAAGACAGTGTTCCACAAGCCAAGGAGAAAGGTGTCAGGAGAGGCCTGGACTTCTGTGTGCTGAAGCCATCCAGACCACAGCAGCGCTAGTAGGTGAACACAGGTGCTGTGGGATTTGTATTCAGGCTCCCATATCCCATTCAGGGCTGCTGTGAGAAAACGTGTCCAATAAGCAGAACCCATGCCAATGCAAACATGGCCTGTAGAACCAGCTAGAAAAGATGTGCCAGTTGCTCCCAGGACTACCTAGAAGTCCTTGCTGTCTAGGCCTCAGCTTTACTCGCTGTGACATTAGGACAGTCGAGTACAAGTATTTGCCTCATACTGTTCTCAGCTTAGTTTTTCTCTTAGTGGCTGACAGCACAAGCCCAAGATGCTTTAGGGATGAGAGAAACAGGAAATTGAATGGCAGACGAGAAGCTGCATAGGTTAGAGAAACAAACAAACAGAAACGCTGCTGGCAATATAATTCTTGACAAACCTACAGAGAGGATGCAAACCATGGCCGACATCACCACAGAAACTACAGGGTTTTTGTGAGCACTGTGAAAACATCTCACACTCTGTGCATTCTACGGGGGGCACCTCCTGCACTAGTGAGCGCTAACAGTGCTATTAGTATTCGAGGTACTTTTCAATAGTGTTCGCAGTCACAGTATTATTAATCCACTGTGGTGACACTGGTCATGCTCATTCACTGCTGACGCTCAAGTCCCACAGTCCATCAACGAAAATACGGAACCAGCCTCCTCCTGCTCATGGTGTCAGCGATCACGTGAATTCTGCCTTCTCTTCTCTCCACATTGCATTTTTCCTGGCTTGTCAGCTTCTCTTGCCTTGTGCACATCTTGGAACTGCCCCAGCCGCACTGCCCGAGACCTGCCATCTGCCACACCCCCGACCTGCTGACCACTCACACTGCATGGAAGAAACCTGAGTTTCTTTCTCTCTGACTGCTCCCTTCCCATTCTCTCCAGTGCTTTTCATGCCCAGCCTACTCCTGCTGTCCACCAGCTCCCTCTGCTATCTCCTCTCCTTGCTTCCAGGAGATGTCTGCTTCATTCCTCCGTTTGTTACTTGTGTACCCGGTCTGTCCCATGTCCTGGAGATTCAGCAATGGACTAGCCAGGTGTGGCTGTGTCCAGTTTAGCAGACAAAATCAAGAAGTAAATAGGTAGCCTGATTCAAGACAAGGCAAACAGAAAAGGGGCCAAAATCTCCAGAGCACATGTGAGGGCACAGGACTCCCAGGAAAAGAGCCCCTGGATCTAACGGTGTGCTTCCTCACGGCACATGATGGCACGCCGTGGGCTTCCCAAAGTGATTTTCCTATTGTTATTATATTTGTAATGAATGATAGTCATTAATACAAGTATAAAGTTCATACCATGATGTGTTTACATTTTTTTTCAGAAAGAATATCTGTGGCCTATAATTTGTAGTTCAAATAATGTCTTAGTTTTAAGGTGAAGTGATTTTTAAAACATATAGCATCAGCCCTGACTTCTATGTAAAAGAATGATTATTATTCTCTTTACTAAGTGCTGTGCACAGGGTAAGTATTTATAGAGAGCGCTAGTTCTCTCCAAAATCTTCAAAATTGTAGGCACTTCCAACTTGTACATTCAGCAGTGAATCTCAGGGAATTGAAGTATTAGTTTTCAAACCACTTTCTGGTTTTGAAAACTAGATTGCCAGAGATAGGAAGTCTACCACTCAGGTGGGTTGGTCTGGAGGAAGCTATTTAACTTTTCTATGCCTTGGTTTCTCGTTTTGTACAATGGGGTTCAGAGTTATGTTTACTTCATAGAATAGGTTTTATAGAATCCTACTCAACTGTGATTAGTAAAATGTAAAAGCAATCGTTCTCATTCTTGGAAATTTCCCAGACTAGCTCGGACACAGAATGAGGAGAATACAAGGGGGTGAAGGTGGGCTCCTGAGCATAGCCCTGCACCCCTGCTTCTCTGTGTCCCATAAAGTCACAGAGCCAAGAGAGGAAGGGCGGCCAGACCGAGTCCCTGTTACAACCTCAGTACCTGGCGTTAATGGGAAGGAGTGAACGCGTAAATAATTAATCCTGCCTCTGCCTCTGACTTGGTGACCTTTCAGGAAGAATTTAATATCTCCAGACCTCAGTTTTTTCATCAATCAATATTTGATTAATGTCTCACCTGATAGTCAAATCTAGTATATAGCATACAATAGCATAACCACTATAACCACTAAACAAATGCAAACATGATTCAGACACAAGACCTCATAAATAAGACAGACCTTTATGTCCCCCACACAGGCTTGCATTAATTTACTTCATCTTACATAAGGGCCATTATGCTTTCTAATAGGACCTGGGCATACAGACATTTACTTTTAAGTAGTCTAAAATTCAGACCACACTCAGTCACACCGCTGAGCCTCAAGATTATTCCACATTCATGGTGATGCTCATGGTTAGCCCTTATGACCATGGAATTTGTTAGAAATGATGGGGAAGTTAACTAGGTGCTGTGAGTTCAGCTGAGGCCCACACAGGGCCAGCTGAAGCTCTGTAGCAAGTTGGAGGGAGAGGTGTCACAAGCCAGGCTCTTTGTGTTGACATAGTTCTAAGCAGCCCTCTGCATGTGAACAGGGTGCATTAGCTGAGGGTTTAGGTAAGAGTGGGAGGAGCTGGGCAGTCTACAGAAGGGAGCACAGTAGGACAGCTGTGGGAGGCAGGACAGAGGAGGCAACATGAGCCTTTTCTCTTTGCTTTAACTATGGCTTCAATATAATTGTAGTGATTTAACAGGAGACAAGCATAAATAAGCCAAATTACAAAAATACTTTTCTGAAAATCCTGTAGTTATCTGATATACACACACATGCATATATAATCTAATGTAGATTATAACTCTTAGCTGATACATGTACAGTTCTTACCTGTGACCGGATGGTTCACTCCACTGTCTGAGTAGATTAGCATTCCATCCATATATAAAGAGTACTGACTTATAATACTGCTTGCTTTTTTGGGTGGATTCCAGGTGAGTAACGACAAGTTGGGCAGGGATCTAGCTACTGGTGGCAGAAGCTCTTGTGGAGCTGTAGAAAAGAACAAGATTTATAGAGACTAATTTTAGTTTACTTTTCTAATTCAAACTTTTCAAACCCAAACCCATAAATCACAGAATAAACCTGAAATCCCATGCATGGAAGTGTTCTTGATTCGTGGGCAGCTTGTCAGTAATTGCTTTAGGAACAGTACTAAATAACTGTCCTGAATTTATGAGAATTTGCATGAATGATGGATGGGAAGTACTTACACGTAGTTCAGTTGACTGATGCTTGTGTTACTTCATCAAAAGTATTATTAATCCATAATCTATTTGGGGATGGGTCTTGAAAAGAAAATAGAGTTCCTGCCCTTGAGGGGCGTCATCTCTAAAATGGGCAATGCAAGTAAGAGTGGTTCATTTAATTTATCTGTCTGTATATCTATCTATCTATCTATCTATAATTATATATATGTACATACACATATATGTATATATGCATATATATAAACCCCTTTGGGATGACAGTATAAGTACATATAAATGCTACAAATCAGCATTGTGTACACCTTAAACATCCATACTACTACACTTCAATTTTATCTCAGTTTTAAAAAGTCCTAGACTCAGGTGATGATAAAAAATTATTTTTTAGAGAATAAAATAGCAAACCTGTCTGTAACTATAGAAATGACCAGAAAACATGAGATTAAATAAATTAGTCCTCTATGAGAAGTACATATGGGCAAGGTATCTTTTTTTTTTTTTTTAATTTCTACAAAAGTTTATTTTTACATCATTTTGCACATTTTTTTTTCCATCTCGATTGTAATCCTCGCAGGTTTCCCATCACCAAATCACCCGTGTGCCACCACCATAGTCCGATGCATTTCCCTCCCCCCCCCCGTTTTGATCCCATTCCCCACTCCACCCCCACAAAATATCTCTGGTATATGGCTGTTCATTATTATTATTATTTTCTC